TTTTTTCGTATTAATGATTTTACGGTATGGAAATGTCTAGGCCTTTGATTATTAGAATCCCTGAGATTTGGGAACAATGAGGTGTGGTGTTTCAGAGAAGCCAGCAGGACCCCCATTCTCTCCACCTGACAAGTGGCTTGGGGGACTGGTGAGAGCGGCCACCCCGCTGGACCTGGACCTCAGAAGGAGTTAGGAGGTGACAGTTGAGTTTCATTTTTCCTTTTTCAGTTTTGGCCTCAAACTTGCAATCCTCCTGCCTCAGCTGCCCAAGTAGCTGGGATCGCAGGTGTGCAGAACTGCATCTGGCTTGTGCTGTTTTTCTTTATGCAGAATCCCGAGTCAGATCCTTCACAGAGACGGGTAAGAGTCTCTTCCTCACCTTATGTCACCAGAGAGAAGTTAGCAGTCGGCCAGGAGGAGTAGCGTTCGTAGCCCAGTGTGTGGTAACAGTGGTTGGTAATTATTTCAGAATAGCTTGGAGCAAGGGTTTTGACATGTGTGCGAGGCAAGGGTGAGGCCATGGCCCTGATCCGATGGCTACGTGTCACAAATGTGTGTCGAAGTGTCACAGTGTACCCCATAAATGTCATGAGCTTGTCCCGTTCCTCGGGAGCGGAGCTCAGAATCCAGGCAGTCCGTGCCTCAAGAACTTGACCACATGAGATCCTGCGTGCGGCGTTTCTGTCTTGTTAGATCACTCTGTATTCCCAGTGACGAGACCTTAGGAGAAGCTGGACCAAGCGTTGGCTGATTCATCCAGGGTTTGATTTTTCTGTGAGGTGGAGGGCTTGCTTCAGGGGACTGAGACATCTTACAGGGACGAGGGCAGCCGCTGCCACAGGAGGACCGCCTCCTCTTCCCTGGGGGCTTGAGGCCCCTGGCAGAGACCAGTCCCAGTCTGTGCCGTGTTCAGGAAGACCTGCTGTTTGAGCCATGAGGTGTTCCCATGTTACCGAACGTCGCTTGTGCTTTAGTTTGGCTGATCCTGCCACAGTCAGGCCCTGGCTTTGGGCGTTAGCTAATCGAGGTGGTGGCAGAGGCCCAGGAGGCTCCGGTGGGTCCTAGTGGCTGTTTCACTTTGCAAGCTGGGTCCTGACCAGTTCTCACCCTGAGGCTCAAACGTGAGAGGAGAAAGCTTTTCCAAGTCAGTGTTTTCTCTTTCAGATGAGTAAACGTTGATAGGCATCAGTGAGTGGGTGCTGTTTAGTTCTCCAGTGGTGAGCTCAGAAGTGAGGACGTGCCTGTGCAGTCTTGGGTATCTTCACAGTGACAGTTCAGGGAGATGAAAACAAACCCTGTGAGCAGGGCTCTGGGCCGTCACCTCGGCTCTTCTTTCCGATTCTTGCCTTTGCCTCCTGGGCAGTCTGCTATGGCAGGAAGGTTTTGTCTTTTAGAGTTAAGGCAAGTTTCACGACATTTAAATGATTTCACTGTCATTTTAATGGTACATAGAAATTTAGTAAGCAGTTACAATCCAGACAAAACTCAAATTTTGCTTGAAAGTATCTTAAAACTTTGAAATGTTACAGGAAATTATTGATTTGTATTCATCACATACTTTGAGCTGTTATCAGCAGAGTATTGTGTAGCTATTCCTAAATTCATATTCAAATATTTCAGAATTTGGGGTTTATGACTTGTTTCCATGACTAGAAATCTGAGTCTGTCTTCACAGATTCGTTTGATGGGTTCTTTCGTGTGGGAATCGGTTATCATGCCTGGCATTTGTTCTCCAAAAGCAGAGCACCCTGGTTATCTTTGTTTAACCTTGAAAGGGAAAGGAGATGCTTCATCTCAAAAAGGCTTGGTGTTAGAATGTGTTTTGGGGTATTTTTTTGGCAAGTGTATTGATAGACAATCTCATCATTCTCTAGAAAATAATTTGCACTAAAGGCGCGAATGCCTTCCTCTGTCAAAGTGTCTGAAAGTCGTTGCGGTGAATATAATCTCATTTTTTTCCAACTGTTTTCAGAGTAATTCTCCAGTCCAGTGTTCAGAGCTGTAGAACACCTGAACCTGACATTTCTGGCAGTGCAGGCATTACTAAAAGAACCACCCGATCTGCTGCGAGGAAAGGCAGTTTTAAAAGGTGAGAAAAGAATCTTGTTCTTGGGAACCGCTCCCAGCACGGGTTTCCAGATTGCTCTTTTAGGCCCTAGCTCTCAAGATGGCAGAAGACGGCAGAGGGCAGGATCCCTGCAGTGGGAGAGGACTCACCCGGGGCGTGTGAGGTTCTGGGCGGTTGAATGCAGGCTTTTGTTTCCTTTTGTGGCTCAGGAAATTCTTACCCCCGGAATGTGGGCTGTGGAGAGTTGAGAATGTGGTTGTTCTGAAGAGTTTTAAATGGAGTTTCCATTCTGCTAGACCACTGACCATCTTTCTGTCTGCTAGCTCCACTGTTGGAGCACTGGCTGCAGTTCAGCTGGTGGCCAGTGTCTGCCCGTACAGAGGCCCTTCCTGACCCGAGGCCCGCCGGTCCTCGTGGCCATGGTCCACATCCATTGCTGCTCCTTCGTCCTCCATTTGTGATCCAGTTTTCATCACCTCTTCCTTTAAATATAAGCCCTGACTGGGACGTGGACCTGTCCTAGGACCACACTAGCCACTTGCCACTGTCCCTGTTTACTTATCATGGACCAAAGGCGGACGTTGAATTCTGAAAGGATTCTGAAAACACGTTCTCTTTGAGGGACGCGTTAGTAATGTGGTCACAGCTGTCTCGGGCATGCGAGGTGGGGCCCCTTTGCCACTGCCCGGCTCTGGTTTTGTGCTGTGGTCACACAGGTCTCTTACCGGAGACCATTGGCGGCCTGTGGAGAAGCAGGACCAGGCACTCGTGTGTCCAGGTCACGCGTCCGCACGGTCTCCCTGCTTCTCTTCGCTGCTCCCTGGTGGCGCTGGTCGGTCCCTGATGGGTGCCAGGAGCAGCAGACCTGGTCTGGGACTTGTGTGCGCTAGTGACCTAAGAAGTGGCTCAGTTCTGACGCCTTTCCTCATGGCCGACTCCTTTATAAATGTCCACTCCTTACTCGATGTACACGGGAAGGTGACAGTGCCCCTGCTTGAGTGTTTGAGAATTGTCGGGCACTGACTCATGATTTTGGGGGCTTTTAATTTTTCATGAGAAATGTATCAAATATTCACACTGTGTTCACCGACCAATTCCACTTGACAGGAGGCTTAGAGAATTGCTGGCAGAAGGTTAGATTTGGGTACTCCATCCTTAGCATGATGTCAGAGTGTCATTTATAACAGCAGGGAAGAGGAGATGACCCAAGCTGTCCCATCAGGTCAAAGGAGTTGAGAGCAGTGTTTTTACTTATTTTTGGTTTTGGTGATGCTGGGGAGCAACCTAGGGCCTGATCCATGATGGGCAAAGCTTCGGACATGTTTTTGAAGAAAATCCAGTGACCTGAGTAAATGATCCAGAAGCAAAAGGAAAGGGCCACACACAAAAAACCTGAGATATTGCCCTGATTTTGTGTATGCACGTTATACTGTAGGAAGAGGGGTGCACAGCTACAGCCACACTGGCAGATGTACGGATTTCTGTGTCTAGAGAAATAAGACCAGAGGAAAGATGTGTCATGACACTAACATTCTTACGTATGATTGACACAACAGCTGGGGACTGTGGTTTTCTTCTTTATCCTTTTTTTTGGTACCAGAGATTGAACCAGGTGCACTCAGCCGCTGAACCACATCTCCAGCCCTTTTTAATATCTTGTTTAGAAACAGGGGCCGCTGAGGCTGGCTTTGAATTCATGATCCTCCTGCTTCAGCCTCCAGAGCCACCAGGATCACGGGCTTGTGCCACCAGGCCGGCTCATTTTCTTATTTTCCAACTTTTCTATGCTAAACGGTAGGAAATGGGAGTGTTTTGATTCTGACACTTTTTACGTGAGGCAGACCGTCAGAAGTTAAAATGGTAAATCTCAACATGCTCTGAATGGACACCATCCTCCTCAGGTGTATCACCGGGCTTCCATCACAGCGTCGCGTTTCTTGGGTACTTAATTCTGCTTTTTCTGGGTTGTGCCTTTTTAGGTTGTGGAGGAACAGAGTCCAGTCACAGAGCTGCACGTGCCCGAGTGCTGCCGTGCTCCTTTAAGGAGGGTGGGCCGTGCACCAGAGTCAGGATTTTCTGATGTCACTTGGGTGGCCTGTGCTCGTGTTGCTCAGGAGAGAGGGCTTCTGATGCAGGGAGCCTCCGCAGAGGGTGCTCGGGGGTCCTCGTGGGGAGTTCAGACCCAGGCTCAGCAGTGAGCTGGCCCAGAGCAGGCTCTGGGAATTTGGGGCAGTGCCAAAAACCAAGAAAGACTTCTTTTAAATTTTGAGATGCACTTTCAGAGGGGGCTGTTTAGAGAAGCCAAGGAGTGAGACAGCGAGTGAGTGGGGTTTTCAGGTTCTGTTCAGCCACCTCCTCCCCGGGGTCGGGGTTTCACCTCTGTTCACCTCACCTGTTTTCAGAAGAAAGACAGAGAGACCAGGTGCAGCGTCCACACTGCTTCTGGGAGCACTGGAGCCAGGGCCCCGGCCGGGTCATCCTGAGTACTTGTTTTTGGTTGGAGGGTGGCACAGGAACAGAGCGGGAACGATGGCCCTGCTGCGTGGCCTGACTCGGGGAGGAGAAGTGTGGGCTAGACCGGCAAGTCCTCCCGGGACGGGGCTGAAGTCTTTCCTTTCAGCAGAGTATCTTAAAATCAGGACCCTTTCCACACGCGTCCCTGTCCCCTCCGGGCACAGGCAGACTGCCCTGCCGTCCCTCCCTGTGCAGGTCCTCTGTCTTGCAGGCCCCGCCTCCTCCCTCGACCCCATCTTGGGGCGCAGGAGCTCCAGGGATCCTTTACACGTCTGCTCCTCCAGGCTCCAGGACCGGGCGGGGCGGGGCTGTCGGATGTCACTTCACGCTGGATTGGCTCTCCTCATGGCTCTCCTCATTTGGGCCGTTGGCTGAGGGGGTCTTCAGCCTTGGAGAACTTTTTTCCAAACCTGTTCAGCGAGCTTACTGGGTAGCCGGTGGGGACGGGAATGTTGTGCTAAGTTATTGGGAAAGAGACGCCTCCATGTTTGTCCTGGCAGGTGATCATTCTGTCACGTGTCCCTTTGGACACACCATGCTAAACCTGAGCCACGCGCAATGCAGTGGCCCAGGCACAGCAGACGCAGAGGGCGTGTGGCCTGGTGACTGAGAGCAGTGGCCCTCAGTGCCCGTGAGACTCTGTGACGCCTCCTTCCCTTTCTCAGGTCCAAAAGCAGAATCCGTGGGCTGCTCCTCCCACTTCCGGCTGAGCCCCGGGACCGCCTGACATTTCTCTCTTAAGAACTAGAAAGCGCGGTGGGAAATCGGCCTGTTCCTCCCGTTCTTGGGTTCCCGTGAGCTGTCTGGAGGCGCGTCGTGTACCGTGTCCCTCTGGAGCCTGCTGGCCTGTGCTCCGGTCCTGTCTTCACCCCGCTCTCCCACTGAGCGCCCCTTTCTGGAAGCCCCTGCCTGTTCTTTTGGGCAGTCTTTATTTTTAACTCTCCATCCCATGTTCTAAGGAATCTCTTGGACAAGTGACTCTTTCATTGTGAGTGGCGTCTTTGGGAACCACCGTTTTGCTGCCCGTGGCCTTGGGCTGCTTTGTTCCCGGTGGTTCCCGTGGTGGGGGGAGGGATGCTGGGGATCCTTCTCCAGCCCCCACGGCTGAGGGCTGTGACCTTGGCTTCTTCGACTTCCTCAGTCCTTTTGCAAAGTCCCCTCTGTCCTGCCTGTGGCTGATCTGGATTCAGAAGTCGCAGATGGGAGGCCTGTCTGGTGGCCTGTGGCCACTGGGGTTGACCCAGACCTGCAGGGTCCCAGGAAGTTCTCTCCGGTCTTTCCAAACGTGAATTCACGACCCTTTAAAATTCCAGCTGTTTCCCACTTGCCTCCACCAGGTGACCAGGACCTTTTTACTCTGGGCTCTCGGAAGGGGACGCAGCAGGGGCATCCGAGTGAGGCCTCCTCCAGACAGGGAGCCTTCCTGTGACTCTCGCTTTTGCTTTTCTCCGCAAGTTGTGCCTGAGTTGGAAGAGAGACGAGCGCATGGTGGGGCTGGGAGAGGGGGGTGAGGATCCAGGAGGGTCATCATCAAGCAGGACGGGGTCCTTGGGTGTGCTCTACTGCCCTGCTGGGCCATCCCGTCACAGATGTGCCCAATGGGCCCTGCGGAGCTGGGAATGGCGTGTGGTGCCTGGGACCAGTTGATGGCCTCTGCAGTAACCTCCTCGTCTTTCCTTCTTTCCGCCTTCCTCGCAGCCGCGTTCCCCAGAGGGAAGGAAGGACAAGGAGAGCTCTGCAGCCAGTGCCCTTGGTGGCAGTATGGTACTCACCTCGCTCTGCCACCCCTGCCCTCCCACCTCCGTTCATTTTTATTTATTGTTTTTATTTTTAAAACTTTTTTTTTTTTCCAGAATTGAGCCCTTTTCCGCTCGGCCCTCCTCCTCTCTGTCTGTACTTTGTCATTGTGGGGTGCTGTCCCTTCCAAAGCGTCTGTCATTCAAACGCACCTGAAGCCTGCTCTCCTCCGCATGTCGATCCTTTCATTGCGCTGCCCCCCTCGTCCTTGGTGACTGCCTCTGGGACACTTAAAACCTCACGGTAAAACCCTTTTCTTCTTCTTTGTTCTTCTTTCTCCCCAGTCCCTCTCTGTCAAGGACTAAAACAGTCTTGCGTTAAGTTAAAAACCCGTGACCAGAAGTGCCGGAGACTCTGGGAACACAAAACTCCAACAAGACGTAGCACAATTTCTTTGAGAACAAAAGAAACTGCAGACGCCTTAGCCGCTTTCCACCCAAGAAGCTCGTTCAGAGAAGGAAAGACCCACCGGCGTCTGGTGCCACTGAGCCCGGGGTGCGGGCGGCGGCGCCAAGGGCCCGGCTCTCCCTTCTCTAGCATTGTCTCGAGTTAAACCACAGAACACTGTTGTAACCCCAGCTCAGGTGTCAGTCGCCGCCTCTGCCGTCCAGAGAGCTGCCCGGTGTGTGTGGCCTGTGTCCCCATGACCACAGTCCCCTTGGCTGCTGGCCTTCAGGAGAGCGGAGCATCTGAGGGTGCACCTTAATGCCTTGGTCTTCTCCTGCCCCGCGGCCCCGCAGGCGCCTGCGTGGTCCTTTCCACACGGGATGCTGTTCAGTTCCCTGTCCTCCCTTTCCCTTTGACATACTGTTGTGACGTTCCCTCTGTGAAGTACCCAAGCTGCTTGTCTTCCACCAAAGAGTGCTTTATTACTAGAACCTGTGAAAGCCACACCTGCACACTGTCGCACGCTGTCCCACCCCGAGGTACTTGGGCCACCTCAGGCTTGCCAGAGAATTGGAATGGAAGCTTTAGTCGGCTCAGGAGGAGAAGCTGGTTTCCGAGTTGGAAGGCGATGGTGGGTCCTTCCTTTCTGATATCATTTAGGGACTGAAGAAGTGGAAGGCTCTGCGCTCCTGTATGGCCCAGCCAGGCAGTAAAGTAGTGTTTTCCTCTAGACATGAAGAAACAATCCCACACGCACGCACATGCACACACATGCACATGCACACGCACATGCACACATAGTGGGGCTTTGTCCCAGGAAACAGCCATCTCACATTGTGGTGGCTTTAAAAAGAAAACTGTCAACAGGTTTTCAGAGTCTTTCTGAACCGCGTGGGCTTTCCTCCTCAGCCATTGGGCCGAGACTACCCCCTGGCTGACAGGCGTTGCTTGGGGCTTCAGTAGTTGGCAGTGAGCCCCTACCGATGCCTCTGGTCAGGGAGTCCAACAGTAACTGTGCCTTGTCCCCTCACCTCCTGGAGCACCACCGCTGGTGGCTGTGACCACAGCAGTCACGCAGTTTATCTGCTGCTTAAAAAAACAGGGCCCGTGATTCAAGAACATTTTGCAAGCACCTTCCCTGAGGAGCAAGCGCTTTTCCTCCGTGGTGGCCACGCTTTCCTGGCTAGTCTGGAGAGGGCGCTGTTGGAAGGCGGCTCCGGGCACCACCTTCCTCCAAAGACCAGATGAATGTATGGGGGCGGGATCCCACAGAGCGGCCTTGCCCATGAGTGGGACGTGGGACAGGATGAAGTCATCGAGAGGTGGCCGTGCCTGTTGCAGGATTTCTGCCTTAGAGAGCAGCGTGGCCTGGACAGGCACTGAGGGCAAAGGCAGGGTGCCAGGATTTCCACACCCAGTCCTGTCAGGCCAGCTTCTAAACCTTAGGGACTAGTCACAGGAAAGCAGTGGCTTTCTGTGCCTGGAGGCAGATAGGCCCAGGAGCTGGCTGGGAGGAGGAGCATCTGTGGGCTGAGGCCAGGCTGAGTACGCCAGGAGTGGGCTGCAGTGTCTCAGGGACACCTTGCCAGAGCCACCTCCTCCCCAACTAGCCACATGCCCATCTGAATCGGGCTCTCTCCTGCACCAGAATGAGCATGCGTCTACCCACATGCTCCTACCAAGCTGGCCCCTCGTGTGGGCAAGCCAGCTGGGTTTGGGCCAAAGCCTTTGGTGACCACAGTGCTTTCCTCTAAGTCGCCTTCTCGTGTCGGCCTCGCAGCTCTCCAGCTAAAATCGCTATCACTGTGGCTCTTGCCAAACATCCCTGTGTCACTAGCTCACTGAAATGAGTCTGAGGCTGCTTTGGAAGACACGTTCCTTGGGGTGTCCAGAGAAGCAGGGCCAGGGCCCAAGAAGGAGCTCACAGAAACATCACTAAGCTTACGGGGACACGGGTAGGATCCAGAAGTCTCTGGGTCTGACACTCAAAAGTTTTTCCTGCTGTGAATAAGAGCAGACCCCATCCCACCCGAAACCACAAAACACCCGCATCTTCTGGGCCTCCAGCTTGGGGGTCCTGCTGAAGACCCTGTGGCTGTGGAAGATGAGGCAGTGCTCGTCAGGCTGAGCAACGAGCCAGCCTTAAATAGCTTTGAAGCACACCAAGCCCGCTTCCAGGGAAAGTAAAATCAGAAACAAATATTTATAGGTCCCTTGACTCAGATCATCAAGAGTCGGGGAAAGACCCTGGGAGCAGTGTCTACACAACTGGGCTCCTGGAAGTGTGGACAGACCCATGGAATGCCAAGACAGACTCGAACCCTGCTCCCTGCAGGGGACAGAGTCCTGGTGAGCCGTGCCTCGTTCAAAGGTGGCCTTACTTGCCCAGCGTGGCAGCTTTACTTGTCTCGAGACTTTTCTGGTTATGAGCTTGAGCCTTTCACTCCCCCCATCTGCCCCACCCACCCGTTGCCTCCTCCCGGGGTGGTTTCTACCTCTTGGCTCAGGCCCAGACTCGTCTCCTGAGGCCTTCCCAGTGTCCCCCTGAGGCCCTGGTGCCTGCCCTGGGGCACAGTGTGGGCCTGCAGGCCACGGGGGCTGCGGGTGCTCCGGGTGCCCTGTGCCAGGAGTTCTGGAGCCTTCTCCCCGCTGTCGAGTGGCCCTCTGTGATAGGTGAGCAGCGTGCTTACCTGAAGTGTTCTAGAAGGACCCAGCTGCTGCTCTCTCTCCCTGTTCTCTTCCCTTAGTGCATTTAAAAAGCAATGCTCATCAAACTTCCACCTTAAAAACATGGGATTTTCCGAATCGTTCTTAGCAACTGAGATGTCCTGGTGAGGCCCTCGCTGCTCCTCCATTTCCCCCCGCCTCTACGTGGAAATACTAGGGACGTGTCTAAAAGACTGGACATTCGCCCATACTGTGTAGGACGTTACCTCCTTATCACCCGTAGAGAGTACTGCAGATTTATATTAATTATTTGCAGACTTTTATCTAATGTGCACTCATGTACAGATTATTAAAAGTTTTAAAATGTAACTGATTAATCAGTATTTGAGCAATCATTGTTTTGATTTTTTTTATTAAAATGTATATTTCTAATCATATTTTTTAAAGCTGAGAGAACTGGTTGAATGTGTATTTTCCTGACGGTATTTTTAAGATACAGCTTCATAATGGCCTGTAAACTTTGCATATATATGTGCTTTGATACATACTGTTGCATTTGAAAATCTTGTGTATTGGAACTGGTTTTATACGAAACACTGAATAGTGGAAATTGTACAATTACAATCGTGTAATTAAAAGTATTAACCAAAGAGGCTTCCGGTTTCTTCACTTACTGAGCATTCTGTCAGGGTAGCCGGTGTTGGAGTATAAAGCAGGTGTACCCTTCTGTGTTGGTTTGTCAGGGCCACCAAAACAGCTCCACAGCCGAGATGGAGTCCAGAATATCCTCTCTCCCAAGATCAGGGTGTGGCAGGCTGGGTCTGTCCCGAGGCCACCACCTAGCTGGGCCCTCTCATGGGCCTCCTCTGCCTCCCTGTCCCTGATGTCTCTGTCCTCGTCTGTAGAAGCCCTCGCCAGGCTGGACTTGGTCCTACCCAGTCACCTCTGTTTCCTTAGCCCCATCGTTCCGCAGCGTCCCCAGACACAGTCAGACCTTAAGGTGCCAAGGGGTGTGCTTGGGGGGACTTAGACTTCCAGCTACACAGGAGTAAGACAAGTGGGGGCTCCCGCACAGTCACTGCACACACCCTCCCCTTCCAGGAGACCGGGACATCCGGGGTGTGGGGCGCAGGCGGAGGCCCCCTCATAGGAGCTTCTAGGGCTGGGCAGGAGTGGTCCTGAGCCCCCCACGCCTGACCTGGCACCCCGGATGCCATTTCCCCACTTCCCTCCTCGTGGTCCCTCGCTGCGCAGGATCCTAAGACCCAGAGCCCCCACCTCATAGAGGTTGTGTCGGAACTGGGGACCCTCCCGAGTCCTGTTCTGCTCCCCAAGGACTGGGCTTGGCTTCACACTGGGACACAGATTTTCAAAGTGAAAATCTCGCAAACCTGTCTCCCTGCCCCTCCAGACTCCCGCACTTTGCTCCCCAGGGTGGGGCAGCAAGTGGCTCTGTCCTCTGTGCAGAGCTCCTTATCTGCTTGTCCCCCTACAGTGTCCCCTGAGGCGTGTCGGGTGGCAGGCTGTCCTACTGTGTAGCACGCAGCTTCAGATAAATTTGCCGTGAATTTTAGGGAATTGTCTCTAGGCGTCAGGCAGAGATGGATTTTGTAGCAGGTTGTGGCGGCTCCGGATCTGTTTTTCCCTTGTGTGTCCATAATGCTGTTATTTTAAAAGACACAAAATATTTTGAGTGGAAGAGGGACGTCCATCCAGCAGAGGTAAGTCTCTTGTGAGTGGTTGGTGCACAGACCAGGCCGCGGGTTGTCAGCAGGTGGACGCGCCCCTTGGTGAGGCTCTGTTATTGAGATGGCAAGTCCTGGGTGTGCCACTGTTCTGCCACCTTGGGGACCCGTAGTGTGCCTCTGAGCCTCACCTGGCTCACCTGTGGAGCTGGCCAGTGAGTGTCCGGTTTGGATTACAGGAAGGGCCTGCCCAGGGCGACTGGCCTCGGCTCTGTCGTCGCCTCCCCAGGCGCCTGTGGGCACTCGCGGGTCACTGGAAGGAGTTGTCACCCTTTTCCATAGTGCCCTGCCTTTTGGCCGTGTGGTGGCTGCCCGCCTTCCTGGGGATAGCCCTGTGTGGATCTGCCCTGTGTCCGTCTTTCCTGGGCCAGGCTGGTTCTTTCCTGGGGTGAATTGGGACAGGAGAGGTTTCTGGGTCACAGGCCGGGCATCAGAGCGCAGTTTGACACGGTGGTGAACGTGGGGCGCGGCCCAGACTGAGCGCCAAGCCCCACTCCGCCCACTTGGTAGCCTTGTGGCTGGGCCCTTGTGTCGGGTGGCAGGCCCCTCCCTGACCTTGCTTCCTCTTGTCTGAAGTGGGGTGACACTGTCACTCTGCCAGGCTCTATGTGGAGAGAGCAGGACGTGGGACACTTTGTGTCCTAAGAGGCGGGCATGGTAGGGCCCTGGCGTCCTCTCGGTATCTCCACCTGCCTATTAGAGGAAGAGCGCCCTCCCCGGGGACACTGGCCCGGGTGGACATGGAGGAGGTCCATCCTGCGGCTCACCGGCCACCTCGCCCCACCCCCGTAACTGTGCCTCATCTCTTTGCCAGCAAGTCTGCATGACTGTGACGAGTTCCTGGGTGACGAGGACTCTGACCACGGCGGAAACCCCAGGTGAGGAGGCCCTGCAGGGACAGGCTGCCTGCCACCGAGGTGCTGGCTGTGGCCCTCCGAGTCTCAGAATGGCCACAGGCCATCTTTGTAAATAGAGGTTTTGGGTGGGAAAGAGGGAGGTGGCATGGTGTTGAAAACGCCGTCCCGCCCTGGGCGAGTGGCTCTGAAACAGGCCACTTCCCACGCAGGACGGTTCCCTGCGTGGGACTCTGGAAAATGCGGCTGTCGAGGACCCCTGCCTACCCGGCGCCGCACGTCCCCAGCCAGTGGAGAGCGACACCCCCACCCCTTCCCAGCCAGCTTCACGGGCTGCGCTGTCCCCACCTGGGACCGGCCGGTTGGCTTCCAGTGGAGAACTCACGGTGCAAGGCCCTGATGGCCACAGCAGACGTGCCCGGGCCCTGCCGGAGGGACTTCCCTGCCCCGTTCTGGTCCAGCCCAAGCCCGCTGGGCAGAGGAAGGGCAGAGACCCTTCACCTACAGAGGGCCCCTGCCTTCCTGTCCTGCCACAGCCTGCACCCGGGGTGGGGCAGCCCGTGTGCGTCTCGTCCCCGGAGGAGGGAGGGGGCTGCTGTCACCCAGCTGGAGCCCACCCGGGACCCCTGTGCCGGCTGGGTGGCTGCGTGTCCTCAGGAGCCATTCGGTGTCCCCTGGCATCGTGGGGCAGGACAGGAGGGGAGCTGACTGGTGGCCGCCCTGGCCCCCTCTCCCTTGGAGCCTTCTGCTGTGGCCAGGAGTGTGACCAGCCTGAGACCCGTCCCCACCTGCCCTCCCTGAGACGGGGCTCCGAGGGACCTTCAGCTCTAACTGTCCCCTCCCTCTCCTCCCAGCGACAGTTGGCTGTCTCGGGCTATCACCTTCCTGGACCGGCTTTTAATGTGGCTGGGTATCCGCAGGGACTAGACCTCTAGAGACCATCTCCCCGACCCCGTGCTGCGGTTCCCACTGCAATTGAAGCCTGGCCCCAGGCCTGAGCCTCAGCCTCCACCGCGTCTCTGCCTCCTTCTTCTCTGGGTGGGACCGCAGCCCCGCCTGCTGGAGGTAGCCGGTGGCAGGACTGGGTGGGGAGGCCCCTGTCCAGGGGCTTGGCTTCTCCAACCTGCTTACGCCAGGTGCCCCTCTGCCTCCTTAGCATTCTGCCGGTCCCTGAAGGACGCACTCCACAGGCCCACTGTGGCGTCCCTGGCTGGGGGACACTGGGGACACTGTTCATGAGGTGCCTGTGCCTCCCAGGGCTCCCCCGTCAACTCACAGGGCTGGGTGTGTCCTAACGGTCACAGAGTCCCCTCCCCCCTTCCACAGGGTGTTCCCACCTGAGGCCTTCTGTCCACCTTTCCCTCTTACTGGAAGGTTCTCTGGTGCCCCATTCACTTCCACTCTCCAGAACCACCAGGACGACAGGTTCTGCCCAGTTTGCATCCTGAGGGTTCCGGCCTCACCACAGAGACTTCCACACCCTCCTCCCTGGTGCTCTGCTGCACAGGCATCAGCCAGTGTCCGAGAGGGCCCAGCACGGTTGCACAGGTCATTCATCACACAAGGAGTGTCAGGCACACCAAGGTTGACGTGACATGACAGTGTGCAGGGTGACTGCTCTTGAGGAAAGATTGTCCCTGCCTCAGGATGTGAGCACTCGGTGGGGTTATGTAAAGTTGATGTCACCACATTCTCACATGACAGACGTCCCCCAATTCTCAAATGGCTTTGTGTGTCACAACTCTGGAGTCA